CGATCCACCTGCCCACATCCAGTTAAGACTGTTAACTCTGACAGCTGCGTACATAAAGTGACTGCGTAAGGCAAGTCCCAGAGGTTCCCTGGCACTATTTCAGCACATCAGGGAAATCCCACAGGAGCAGAGAAACAGAGAACTTTTAGCAAGGAGAGGGTCAGTTCAACCATAAGGCAAATTTCTTCTTTGTTACCAGGAATGTGGTGACTCCTGCTAGGGCTTAACAGTGATCGCTGAAGCCAGCACAGCCACCTAAAGGCACCAGCTTCTACTACTTAAGTAAAAAACAGAGACTGATGAAATCCAAGGACGTACAAGACTCAGGTATCCAAAAAGGAAAAATAACCAGCAAGACAGGGTGCTTCCAAAAAATTCCCATCAGATGGAAGGAATGGCTGGTTGACACATTCTTTGTACTGCTGTAAATTGACAGTGCAAAGTGTTGCTCTGCAAGTGTGCTGCAAATAGAGCTAGGTTTTCCAGTCCTGTAATGGGATGGAAAAAAACCACCACACAAAAAAAAAAAAAAAAAAAAAAAATTGAGACTTTTATGAATCCAAATTCCAAGAAAGTGAAGGAAGTCATTTGATGAAAGCAATGCTTCCCATAACATTTTACCCAGCAAATTAAAAACAAACACCTTCCCCCTCCTCAAATCTACAGCAAGAACTTGGAGTTACAAGTAGAGAGATACAACCACTCCCTGAGAAAGGAGAAAGCATCACCAATTTGCATCAAGCACCTGCAACATAACTTACTACTGTTTTGGCTGGGATTAAGTTTCCATTGCTGAGCTTCACCAGTGTATCTGGTTTTGGCTTTTTTTTTTTTTTCCTTTTTTTTTTTTAAACCAAGTTTTGATTAGTCTGTTTGCTGAGCTGTTGGCATGGTTACAATCAGTGGGAGTAACTGGTTTTACTAGTGCTGAATTACAGATTTGCCCATGCCTGTCTCAGCAGAAGCAGCGTTTTCTGCATTTTGGACTAACCATAAATTCCCTCTGCATAAGAACTTGATTATAGGAAATCTTCAGCTTTGCTTAAGGCTAACAGGAATGGAAAAGCTTCTTAAATACTATCAATGCCCTAAACTCAATAAAGTTTCACTGCAACTTCTCTGCATACTAAGCATACGGTTCAAGCTGACCAAAAATCAGCACCATCAGTCTTTTATGTCAAAGTTGGTTTTTTGGGGGTTTTTTGGGGGGTTTTGGGGTTTTTTTTTTTAAAAGGAATGAATGGCATTTTGGAAAAAAGTAAACAAACAGACATCATCTTGCACTTGCTCAGCCTCTCTCATAGCTGTTCAGCTTAATGTAGTTGAAGACCTTAAAAATTTTTAGAAAAAGTATGCTGGTACAGTCCAGATGCATTAGATGCACCACTCCAGAACTCTAAAACCATGTCAATGTAGCAGGCTATTTTCAGCGCTACTTGCAAGGAAAACATAATAAAAAAGAAACAGTCCCCATTCTCTGTTGCAGCCATCTTCATTAGCCTTTCCTCTCGTTGCCTCACTTTGCTGGCCTCCCTGCACATGGACTAATTCAATTTTATACTGCGTTAGACTCTTCTAGGCATACTTGAGCAGATCAAACTCTGAGATGAAAAGCAAACGGCATTTCTTTGCAAATAACACAGGGAAAAAGTAAAAGAAAATACACGTGTGCTTAAATAGGCTCACTATCTCCCACACAGCTCAACAGTAGCTTAATTCCTTTTGCAGTTTCTCCCTGAATTTGCCCTGATATCCTGTATGCCCTCTCCTCCCACTCCCATTTTTCAAGAGATAGCCGCAAACGTACCTGTAAGGTGCTGGTTAAAAAGTTGTCCTGGGAGATAATGTCCACAAAAAAATCAGCTGGGATTTCATTGAGCTGGTGATACAGCACAGAAATGAGATTGATGTAAAGGTCTTGATACTTCCCGATGGCATCTTCAGATCGGCACAGGATGTTTAAGAGTCTTTTCCAGTGCTCAAATGCATCATACACATTCCCGATCAGGAAGCAGATGAAAGCAAACTGCAACTCAGCTGTGCATATTCAGCAAAGGAAAACAAAAGAAAACACACATAAGACTAAAAACACATCCAAGGTACGTGTCCTTTCAAAAACTCTGTAAATGATTGCATAAAACTCTGGGTTTGCCTTTTGCACATGCATTCTGCCCTTCCAGCGATTCTGCTGATAGCAATCAGTACTCCAAACACTATTTCCTAATGCTCTTCAGCTGGAGAAAAGGCAAAGCATAATCGGGCATCATTACAGGGTCCACCTATAACTGTAATTATCATCTTTGCAGAGTGACTTTAGTGGCAATAAGAGTGCACAGCCACCTAAGGACTTCCAGTGTCATCCGTGTTCTCAAAATGACACTCAAATAAGAAGTCAGACATTGTTGTTATTCTGCAAGCATTCACTCTGCCTATGCCCGGGTTTCCAGAGCCACACGAGAGTGCAAATACTGGTGCCCTTGAACGCAAGGGCTGTGGGAACACTGGGAGAGGGGAGCAGTACATTAACAGATATTTTTTCCTCGTTGAATTAAGAGCCAGGGTTCATCTCACCGGACGCTTAGCATCAGCTATTTTGCCAGAATGATGGCGTCACCATTTCCTAAGGTAGTTCATTCTTTGTATATCCTAGAGTTGTCTTTGATAATTTTGATAAAGAATAAATTGTATAACATTAATATAGAAAAAATGGAAGAAGGAAAAAACAAAGGCTTATTCCAAACCTCAGTAGCTTTGAGGCTCCAGCTCAGCTGGGTTCCCAAGCCCTCCCTCCATCCTGCCACAAAACCACACTTCAGGACCTCCACTGATTTCATATTTATTCATATCCACAAGTTGCCAAAAAAGGCTGGCAAGTAATTAAGACCCTGCGACCGGGAGCCACAGCCCTCGCTGTAGCTGTCTCCTGCAGCAGGGCTGGCAAACCCCAGATGCTGCCACAGAGAGCCGCCAGCAGCACGCAGCAGAGCTGCCACCGCTCCAGCCAGGGAGGGGACCGGCCACTGCCTTGGGAACCGCCTGCTGGGAGACCTGGTACCACCTCAACACCCAAACGGGAACAAGAATCCGAAAATCACGATGCTCAGCCCCATCCAATGCTCCCAGGACTCAGTAAGCTCCATCCTCAGAGGTTCACTTAACAGGCAAATTGGAGGCTGGTGCCAGATGACAGGCCTCCTTTGCACGAGATGCAGCTCGCGGCCACCTGCGATTGCTGCTTTTGACTTAATTTGAGGCAATCGGGGCTCCAAGCACAGCACCCAGGAGCGAGAGAGGCAACTATGGCAGGCTGGCAGCTCCGGCCACTACGTCCTCACACCAGTGCAACTGGAACAGGCCCCACAGCAGCTTAAAAACTCCACAAACTTCTGTCCTGCAATTAAGAGAGATGCCTCAGGGCGCCAGGGAACGGGGCCCACAGAAGAGGCGCAGGTTTCATCCCGGGGCTCTCGTTTTACTGGGAAATGACTTTATTCTCCCAAAGCACCCGAGGACTGCCGAGCGGTACGCGGTACTCACCAAGCAGATCCAGAGGCTGGCTGGCGTATCGCTGGCTAATCACCTTCTCCAGAGCGTAGCTGAGATCCATGCTGTGCCTGGTTATCTCCTCCGGAGTAGCACCATCGGGGTACATCTGCTTCGGCAGCTCCGTGAACCTGATCTCGGTGCCGGCTTTCGGCTTCATCTGGGGCAGCCGCGCCAGGCCCTCGGCGTAGCTCCGGCACTCGGCGTCGAAGCGGGGCAGGCGCTGCTCCGCCCGGTCTCTGGTATGCCTCCCGGCCACGACCGGCAGCACCTCCGAGAAGGCGCAGATCTGCCCGCTCTCCGGCTGCAGCTTCTTCATCGCCGCTTCGCTGACGAAGCTGGTGAGGGAGACCCACTTCTTCAGGGTCTCGTAGGGATAGGGCCCGAGGAACG